TTAGCGCCTGAACTTTACGCAATTTTTGTTGCATTTTACTGTATCGTCGTTCTTTCTGGCTTCGTGTGTATAATGGTTTAGCGTATCGGGCGGTTGTACCCAAGTTTGTGGGTTAAAACGCGATCGAAGCCATGGATATTTAAGGACGAAAAAATTCTTCGTATTCCTTCCTTCGGAGGAGACGTAAAGCCAGGTGTCCCATGTTGTAGATTTATTGCATGTAAAAGTTCTTCACGCCTAAAAGAGGCCTCTGAGCTAAATTCAAATTCACCTGTTTCGTCCCCCAAGGTTCGTCATGTTACGTTCTTTCTCCGCTATATGGTGAAAGAGGCGTAGCAAAATTTGCGTGGCCAGACAAGAGAGTGGGCCTGATGGCCTGAATCATGTAAAATAAATCATGAACTAACGTTGTAAAAAGTGAAAATATTGTAATCGTGCGCCGGAAAAGGCGATTTTTTGGCAGAAAAACTCTGGTAACAAAAAAGGTGATAAATATTGTTTATGTATGTATCGAATTACTTCCTCTAATAGTTTGGTTGGTCTCAATCTATATTTTGTGGGTAATTGATACTGAAAATTGAATGAGGGAAAAACATGTGTGTCCGTCTGTGCGCTTAAACCGTTCACACGTTTTTCTCCAAAATCCGTATTCCCTGGTTGATCTGAACGAACTCGGCGTCCTGCGAGTTTGAAACGGATATTTTAATTTTTGGGAGTACTTTATGTGAAACCTCAACACTTTCAAAATGTTTTCCAAACAATCTCCAAATATTTTATTATCCTTTCCCTCGGATGGAGTAAATTACGCTTACGAAATGGCGCAAATCTCATTTTGTTCAAAAGCCGATACAAAAGTGAATGCGAATCCAATTTTCGGCGAACTCAGTATTATCGAACATTGTAGAATTCTGGGAATTCAACTCAAAATCCAAAATCATAATAATTTCATAATCAATTTCTTTTACTTTCTCGCCCTTTCTTCGTAAGAGGAGAATGTAATCTTGTACTGGAAAACGGTTATTTTTCGACAGAAAAACTCTTATTGCTGGTACCTGGTAATGAAAAAGTTGATAAATATTGTTCAATTATGTAGTAAAGTACTTCCTTTAACACTTTGTATAGTTAAAGAGAAAGTTTAAATGAAAGACCAGAAATAAATGTGTCAAGAAATGAGTTATTAGTGTTATGACGTCATCAGCATTGTCTTACTCATAGCTATTTACGTGCTAACAATATTTCACACAATATTGCACATTGTGACCAACTGATTTCGGAGTAACACAAAAGTGGTAATTGTACACTTGGCAGCATACTTTTCAACCTCTGTGATGGGATTTATATTATATGAGCTCAGACTATAATTTTCCTCCACACGTGACATATAGATTCGATAAATAAATAAGTACAAACTCGCAAGAGACGGTCGCGAAGGGACAATATCCACCGTCTAGTACGATGAAAAGTTTTAGTATATAATTGCGCAGTGAGCAATGACAAGTATAATGTGTTTTGCGTGAAGCAAGGAGAGAACTAATGCCTTTTCTTATGACTACGGTTGCACCGGAGGGTGGTGGCGCGGGGTAGTGACGAGCAGATGAGGTCGTGAAACAAAACCCAAGATACACCACCACCTTTATTGTTGACACATTACATACGTTGCCGCAAACAGTTCCCAGAGCATGTCGTTGGTGCGACAGCAAGGGACAAGCCGTAAAGATTCGTTGGACTTGCCCTAATGCTTCGGAGGGAAGGACGGTTACACTAGTGATGACCAACCTTTCAAGGTTGACGATGCGAGCGCTTCTCGAGTATGTAACGTTTTCTTATTTATTATTTTTGGTTCCTGTGTTTTTGAGACAATCACACAAGTTAAGGCCAAAAGTGCCTTGAAACGTCGCACGAATGACAAAAAGTCTGAATAAAAGATGTATTAAAAATCTTTGCTTGTTTGATTGTCTCAAATGCACCAGAACCAAAAATAATAAATAAATATTAACAAAAAGACAAACACTTAAAACATAAAAAATTTAAATTCTTACTGCGGCAAAAATTATGCGCGGATTGTTAACGTGCAAGATCGTAATCGGGCTAGGCGGGGCGCCCCTCTTGTCCCGGTATTGGTCGATGATTGCAGTGGGCCTGTGTATAGTGTTTCGAAGTTGTTATTAAGTTATCGCCACCAATAAAATCAAAGTTGGTCACCCCTACATATGGCGTTTAAGATGCTACCTTCCATTAAACAGTAAAAAGATACATTTGTACAATTAATGTGCAGCTTCAAGTCGCAAAAAATGAACATTTTCAGCACAAGGCAAGTTCAGGGTTGAACTCTGCACGAAAATGAATTTAAAGGAATGAATTTGGCAATTAGGTACGATTGTCATGATTAATCTGCTATTACATTACAGTGTAGTAATGAAGACAAATATTAGTCATCTCATAATGGTAAATAACACTAGATATAAAAAGATACATAGTGAATGATGAAATGAAAGAACTGTTTTAAAAAAAAGTTGCCCTGCCTTACTTATACATTTTATTGAGATTTAATTAAACTTTTCATAAATGTTAAGGTGCCTATCTGTAGAATTTTAACATTCCATAATTGCATTATGTAAATAAACATTACCATAATAAATAAAGCAATGCTTATGTAGTTCTGTTAAACCCAAGCTATGCAATTTCCTTTCGTACACTCCCCTGGTGTTAGTCATATTCACAAAACTAATGTAGGGATCGCATGTCCCTTGCAACCAGTCAGATACATGTCATTGTTTTTATGTCTAACAACTCTCTCTTTGAATGACCAGTTTTACACTGAATAATGACAACCTCAGAAGGTAAGCAGTAGCATGAGTCTATGTTTCACTAGGTAGTCAGTTCCTTTTTATATGTCATAATATTAAATATATTATTTCCTCATACAACTGTGGTAGAATATTTGGCTTTCTAGAATCCTATGGATATAACTAGTTCAGATAACATTTAGTTATGTACAATCTAGAGTCATAAATGAGTAAAATTCTAGAATTCTGATTTGCACACATTACACATTGCCTGCATATATAATGCATTTTTATAGATTCAATTTTATATGCAAAATCCTGGAAGTTAAATATAGTTTTACATTTTTAAAATACTGTGAATAATTCAATTTTCATTTATTATCAAGAGAGATGCATTGAATATTAAGCACAAATATATCATAGACAGATTTCAATGACATGTTTGCAGAAATATTTACATGCTCTTATGTGCTTCATATGCATATTCCACACCACATCAATGATTCTAAGTGCTTTATTTGTAATCGTATAGAAAATATTTAGAATCAGTCAAAAAATAGGTTTTAGAAATTTACCTTGGTGGAACAAATATTAGTTTGAACATGTAGCACAACTTCATACTCAGGAAAATACCTTTCCTTCATTGATGTAGCATGAAGCATGTTCAAATGAATGTGTGTTCATTTACACTTCAAATGAATTTCAATCTGCAATGTGTTCTGTAGAACTCACTGAAATATAAATATATCATATCCATTGAATAAAGGTGTGCAATGTATTATTATGAAGAAAAGTATTTTATAGAAATAAAATACATGGATTCTCCAGATTAAATATTTATTAGAATATATTTGTAAACATTTTTACAACAAGTGAGATTATTATATTACTTTGGGTTTTCATTTTGTGTACTTGAGCTAGTGTAAGAGAGAAAATATTTTTTATTGTTTCATTTCTAGATAACATTTTCTTTGAGCCAAAAAATAGCATAAAACAGCTAAATCTTCAGAGTAATAAGATTAGAGAGTAATCAGAGTAATTTTCTAAAAGTTTGTAACGAAGTGACTAACAAAGATGCTTTCCAAAACAAATGTCTATTTTTGTAATATGAAATATCTTCTAGGTCTCTAAAACTGAGACACTACTTATAAAATCTCCACATACTCAAATAAAAATTTTTATTATTAACATATTTCAGCACATTAAAATCACATATTTTGCTCATTCTGTATCTTTTCTTTTCTAGTTCATGGTGCTTGTAATGTGATGAAAATGTATGGTGTAAATAAGAGAGCTTTCTAATGTTTTTATCAGCAATATTGAAACTATGCTTTCACAGTTTCATTTTGAAACAGTAATAAATATCTATTCTACAAGAAATTCAATAGTGATAACATAAAGAGAAATGAAAATTAAAAATCTCGTTCTTTCATTACTATCATTTCTTAATAAGATCGAAGAATACATTTTTCAATAGACTTTTAGTCATTTAGTAAATTTTAGAGAGAGAAAAATTAAGGTTTTTATTTTAAAATTTAATATAAGTGTACAAAGTGAAGTTAGAAAAGCAGATTTTGTTACATCAAGTAATTTTGTATTCATATACATTCTTTGAAAATAAATTTTAAAAACTTCAAAGGGCACTTACATGAAATTTCATGAAAAATTAATTACTCAAAAATTATCACTAAAATGCTCAACTTATTCAGAAGTTCAGATTGATATGTTCAAAAATTTTGAAATTAAGTACTCTAATTCAATTTGAAAACATGAATTTTAATTTTTTGATGACTTTTAAAGAGTTATTTTTGCAAAGATAGCAAACTATTTTGTTACCATATAGAAAGCATATCTTTTCTGTGACTATAGCTTGTGAATTCAATTTTTTGTTCCGCATCTTACACTACATCACATTTTCAAATTCACAAACTTCTGCAGAGATCTTTCTCGAAATTACATTTTGTAAAGAAAATTTTTACCCTGTTGTAAGAAAAGGTATCATTACATTGTTTCAAAAATCATACAATTTTGTTTATTAATAACATTTCTTAATATTTTGATCTAGTGTTCAGAATGAAAATCAAAATAATCTTCCTACAGCAGAATAATGTATAGCAATTTCTTGAAAGTGTTTTCTTTGAAGTTTGTTTATTTGCATATTATGGAAACCAAAAGAAGTGCAAAAAGTTAATTAAATGCCCTTTTCTCTTTCAGTACCCCCTAGATGGGTGGTTGAACCTTCTGATCAAAGTGTTGTTTTGGGAAATTCTGTAATGCTTACATGCCAAGTAGATGGCTTTCCAAAACCAACTGTTGTATGGAAACAAGCAATAGGTTAGTAAAAAGTGATCATACTGTAAAAAAAGAAATTACTTATTGTATAATGATGTCTACTAGTTAAAGGTAAAAACATCCATTTTGTCATAATACCAAATGAAAAATATATTTCATACCTATTTATTACCAGAGCTCAGATTTCAATGATGTATCTTTCATTTGAAGAGTTGATGTCTCAGATTTGTTAATTGATATCTCTAGACTGTTGACAATCCAGTAATTCCAAAAGTTTTAGAGGAAGCTTATAAAATATCTTAACAGGAATGACATAACCATTATATTGTAGATACTTATGTTTAATAGTACTTTTAAAAAATATTTCATTTTTGTGTTTGGCCATTTTTGTCATTTCACTAGTTCATTTTGGTAGTGAAGAAGTTGGCATTTGATTGAAACTACACAATAGGAATGACAGAAATTGTATTCATATTGAGATTATGGGAGACCTTTGTGCCTTGGCCACATTTTTATTGACACGTTTTTCTACTTTCTTTTGAAAATTTGCTTATTTTTTGTGCTCTAATGAAAACTCAAACTCTGTATTTATTATGCTAAATGTTTCATTATTTTCCATTTCGTATTTCAATTTATAATTTCAATTAAAAAGCTGGTAAAGTGGCCAAATGTAGCAGGTACACTTGTACTTTGGGACACCAAATGTTGTATTTCAGGCCATCTTCCTTATTATAGACTACGAAATAGGAAAACAGGGGATATTGGTAAAATGGGTTTTCATTTCTATTAGTGGTTGTATCCTTTGCATTACTGCAGATATATTCACCAACTGCAAAACTTAGAAATCTAGAAAGCCATTGCCCATCAATCTTATTTATTATTTTTGATTTATGAACTTTGTAGATGATACAAGGTAATAAATTGATTCAGAGTTAAACGACTATATATCTTTATTAAATAAAAAAATACTATGGATTTGTCCTTTAACCTTCTGGTGTGCCTCATATAGTCACAAAAGTAGGAGCACTGTATGCTGCCTCGAGAAAACGTTCTTTTGCACCCTCAAAACTTATATGATTGAATTGAAGAAGGAAGAATAAAAACTCACAATTATTTATCATTACATTTTTAATGTTAATACATTTTATAATCACAGAAATGTGGCTCTTTTCGGGTATAGGATGATAAATAACACGTTGTTTCATAAAACCTTGTAAAACAAAATAGAACAAAGAAAATAAAATAGAAATAACTAGAAAATTGTTATTAAATAGACAAATTAATTATAAGAAGCAGTTTCCTGTCCTTAAATTTTAGAAAAGCATCAATTGGTTTCCATCAAGTAGTCAGAAATTGTTGACATCAAATCTTCTTTATGACTAATAAAAAAAGGCAAAGGAACAGAAATTCTCGCGTTTCGTTTAGAATGTTGCAAAGTGAGAATACTGAAGCCCCGTGACTTGTCAAACCGCTGTAATCCCTTTGAGAACAATAAAACACAAAGACAGCATGGAGTGCGGCCGCGCGCTTGCCGGAAGGTTAAATAAGAACTACTACAGAAACAAATTAAGGAGCATAATGCATATATGTTAACTTAAAATTTAGCTCAATGTGTCAAAGAAAATCAAACTTGCTTCTTTGAGAATTTTACTAAAAGAATTCATTAAATAAACTTCTTCCAGAAGGAACCATTCCAAATATTTTTGTGGTTATTTTCATTTTATAGCAGGAGGATAATTTTCCCCAAATGATTTTTCATTCAATGCATATTAAAATTTCGATAGGCAATATACATTTTGATTGTTTCGAAAATTTCAGACATTTAAAACACACAATATTGTGTAGTAATATCAAGATGAAATTCAATTTAACTGTTTAAATATCAAATTTGAAATATACTGCAAAAATGATTGTAGTATATTTACATTTTTCAGAAATTTTGCTTTAGTTTTATTACAATTCAAAAGCACAACACATTTTTTGCAATGTTCAGTCATGGTTCAGTTCAAGGCTGTCAACTGTTAGTAAAATAAAAAATATTTGTATCTCATATGTTATTTTGTTTTTTAGGAAATCAGCCAGGTGAATACAGAGAAATTGGATATCGAAGTGATCGCATAAGGAGTCTTGAAAATGGCTCCTTGATAATTCCAAGAGTTGCAGAAGAACATGAAGGTTATTATTTGTGTCAGGCAATGAATGGGATCAGTGCCGGCCTCAGCAAAGTTGTTCACTTAACTGTATATGGTATGTACCAAAGGAATTACAAGTATTTCAATCTGATGCGTCTGTTCCATAATGCTAGTTAAAAAGAATAGGTATTGACTACAGTACTTCTTCTTCTTCTTCTTCTTCTTCTTCTTCTTCTTCTTCTTCTTCTTCTTCTTCTTCTGTCGCACTACGGTATTTTAAATTTGACATTGGCATCTCGAACGATCAGTACTGATTGATCTATCAAATAAACTTACAAAAAATAAGCATAAGTGATACGTAAAATTAAAAATCTAACTAAGCATTCTCAAGAGTAATAAAATTTAACAAAGTAATTGTCGTATACTTGTGGGTAAATTATATAACCGTTTGTTTTCTAAATTTCGTTAATATATTTGTTTAAATATCTGAACTTAAAACATAATTCCTACTTTACTCGCGAGAAGTACGAGTTCCAATTTTTCATTTCTATTACTTCATTTCTTTCAATTTTCGATGTTTATTCATAACTTCTTAGAGTTAAACCTCCGGTGGATATTTTTATGTTAAATATTTTTGTTACACAAGTTTATAATTTAAAAAAATTACTTTCATAGAGTTGCCTGGAGTGGCCATCCTCGAACATAGAAAGTTACATGAACAAGTATCATTTCATGTAATGTTTAATACAGTATTTTTTAAACTTTTGTATAATTCATTTTATGACTTCATTTAATTTGTTTTTTCAAAAAGCAATAAAAATGTTGTATGTGACATATGAGGGAGAAAATCATCTGTGCATTCGCTTAATTTTCGTCTATCTGATGATTCAAGTTAGCCCGGAAAGGAGGTACCATAAGTTAGCATTTTCCCACTGTCTATGAGTTTAAACCCCTAAACACAATTTTAATACTATTTCTAGGTAATAGTCTAGAAGAATCCCGCTAAAACGAATGCAAAACGATTGGTATTGTGGAGAGAAATTAAATAAGCCGTTGATCACCTCTTTAGGTGCTTTAACCCTTGGTTATTCGCTTCGTGTTGTGATACACAAGTACTCGGACCGCCTTCAGAGTACACCATTCTCCATATAATAAGAAGAAAAAAGTATTCTAAGGCCTGCAGCAGCTGAAATGCCGTTGAACAATATAAAAAAAAAATGGTTATCCAAAAAGTAGCTCGCACACTGTCAAGAACGACAATTAAAGTACTTTGGTGTAACACTACACAAATTCAATATTGTAACAAAAACAAATAGTCTTCATACACAGTACATCAATTCTGTTCAAACCAAGAATTAAAAGAGTTGCTGATCCATAACTCAAACCGCAAATATCAAGTACCTACTTAATAGAGAGCGGCCTCTTACTAGGCGCCTAAATGCCGCATGACGTCAGCTGTGTCAAAAGCAGAGGCACTCTGTGTATGACAATTTTTCGGTATGTGCAGTATGATAATAAGCGGAATAACACAAATGTTTACTCTTTTCAGTCAAACTCAAAACAGTTTAATTTTTTTTTTCGAGTTCCAGGGTACTGCACAAAACCAGTCACTTCTTGGCCGGCCACGACATAGTTTTCTTTCAAATTTCTGCGCCATTCGGAAATGAGTTATTCAAATAGCTGTGTTTTGAAATTTTCCTGTGTTTTTGGGTCCCTAAAGAAACCATATACACCTTTTACCGGGTCGGAGGCTGAACAGTTTTTTTCCTTCCAATTTCTGCGAACATTGAAAATTAGAAGTATTGAAACCTAGTATGGAGCCAACTTAACTAAAGTGAATTGTTCGTATATTTTCCTCTGCAAGAAAATATTTTCCTTTTCTATTAATTGCCTAGTTAGTCTGCTAGCAAGTAGTTACCTATTTAGTCTCTGTATAAAAGTGACTCTAGATCATTAAAATCTGGTATGATCCGGTAATCACTCTAGTTACCCCATATTTACCACAAATTTTCAAATATTCGTGACGAATAACAGAACCATAAAGTTTAAATGTCACTCATCAATCTTAACTCTCTAATTATGGAGCTCGAGACGTGCCTCTGGTTCAAGGGTCTGGTTCTGAATATTAGCCGACGGCGTACGTGTTCATTTTTCCTGTGTGATGGTGTCAGTTAAGCCTGTTATTGTGTTGACCTTACAGACAACAAGATTGCGTGTTAGTATGCAGTTTTTAATTCACGAAACGTTGGTAATAAAGTGTTAGGTTTAGTCGATATAATCACAAAATTAAATACAATTGCTTAAAATAGAAATGTTTATTTATTTTTCTGAACGTTTGTGTGATTTTATGATTTTTAATTATAATCAATGAAACTGGATTTTCTTAAGATTATATCATTTTCTGCAGCTGGACCACAATTCAAAACCCGCTCGCGTCAAGAAACCGTACGGAAAGGAGATTTAGTGCATTTACGTTGTGAAGCTGAGGGAGACGTTCCAATGGATATAATTTGGAAAGCTAAAGGCAGCCGCATCGAACCTGGATACGATATCAGGTATGATTATCGTCTTGTAATATCTGCGCTTGCAACATTTTAAATTTTCTTTTTGAAGTCAAGACTCACACTTACTGTTATTCTGGAAAACGATCATTATGACTGTATTTGTGAAAACATTGCCTCTGCTAGATTTTTTCAGTTGGAGAGGCTACACGAGACAGATAACACACGGAGCATGCTGATAATGAGCACTAGAGCTGATCAATATAACGGGTGAATGTCTCGGAGGCGCTTACAAAATCTTAGGGATATAAAATTATGTCTTTTTATTTGACTTCAGTGAACGAAACTAAGTAAAATATTTCCGATGTGCGAAGAAGTAGTATTTTTTTCAGTTTTGTTGTTCCCATTAACAATGTTCTTGTGTAACAGAATGAAATGCATTCCTGTTAACATTAATACAGAATATATTAGAGATTTATTCATTTCGGAAAAAAGCAGCTATGTGGGAACTATGGACAGAAATGATATCTATGCATTTATTTCAGTTGCGTTTATTTCTGATGAAAATTTACTTCGCTGTAAGATTGTAAACCTTTTGATCGTAAAATTACCTCCATTTTCGTGATGATTAATAACTCAGTACAATTAATACACTGAACTTCCAATCTTGAGAGCTCGAAAGAAACGATATCTTGGCTATTCTTTATTTTTTAAATACGATATTTGGTAAACTCTAATTGACATTTTTGAAGAAATTGAACATACACAATACAGTATGTTGTAAAAATTCATTGCAATGAATAGAACACAATTTTATTTCTATAATACATTTTTTATTAGAAAATTTCATTTTGTATCAGAAACATATCCTCAAACTGCCGTCCTCGAGGGGACCGCTAAGTGGTTTTAGGAATACCCTGAAGGGGTCACCAGGAGAAAGTTTAGGCTCTTTGCATTTGTTTGCATGAGGTTGCCATGACCCATGAAGGAAACGAATTTAGTTCCTATGACATTATTTGCAGTCGTTTCAGCACACTGCGTTCTCGGAATCTGACAGCGCGTGTATCGAATATTAGGTCTACTATATTTCTAGAAATCGCTGCCAGGAGCGCGCTGCCCGTCCTTATCGGGAGCTTTCATTCCTCTGCCACGGAACAAGGAGCTCGGGCTTATCTCTTCAGGGTTGTCGCTCCCCTCCAGGCCGTACTTTCATGAACAGCCTTTCCTTATTTATTTTACAAATATTTTTGTGCAATGAGATATGTTCTTAGAAATCTCTATTTTTGGTTTCTTGGTAGTGGATTCGGCTAAATCAGTGCTTTTACAATTCAATTCAGCACCCTATCTCGAGCGTTGTACATTACCAGAGAACGTCGCTGACGGGTATATTTAATTTCTCTGTCTTTGCAGATCTCCAGTTCCGAAGCAATGCCCGGTGTGTGCTCGGCATCAACTCTCCCCCCCCCCACACACACACACACACACAAGCGTTCAGGAACTATTGGCGCTCCTTCTAGCAGTCAAACTGCGAAACCGCCGCTAAAAATACCGAGTTGTATCTTATCACGCACAACATATCTCCCCAAATAGCACACCCAAATAGTTTCGTAGCGAGTCGGTCGGTTTTTAATTTTTATTGCTATCTAAAATATACTTTATGGCAGTATGTTTTTACTCCATAAATAATAATCTGCAAAAAGGTTTCTACCTTGCTTTAGTTCCTTAAAATTTACGATATAAACTCGAGGACGGAGGAAATTATGTCAGAAAATTGCGAAAATAAATCCACTTCTTGTAAACAAGTTATTTGCAACAAAGAATTAGCAAAATACAAGTAAAAAGGTAAAATGTCTTAATTACTTCTTTTGGCAGGTACATGATAAAAAACACGAGTTTATCACATGGAATGATGTCTGAACTAAATATTTTGGAAGCCTCACATTTGGATAGAGGCGAGTACACCTGCACTGCAAACAATGCATATGGCCAAGATCATACTTCTATTCAGCTTTTAGTTCAGGGTAAGTTGACATGTATGATTAATTGGTGATGACATCGAAAGTAAAATTACGAAACATCATTTATCACTAACAATTTACAGAAACAGATTTTATCCCTAACAATTTACTTTAATATAATTTTTTACTATTCATTACTTTTTTTCAGAGCCTCCAAATTTTCCTAGGAATTTACACATAGCAGAACAAACAAGTCGTTCAGTGAGACTTTCTTGGTCTCCAAGTGCAGGAGACACACCTGTAACTTCGTATATCTTACAATACAAAGAAGCTAGAGGTAGTTACAGAAGCACAATAATCTGATATGTAATTTGATGATTAACAAACAATAAGTAATCAATGATATTGACATTGCACTTAATTGTCGTTATGTTTTATTTCTCTTAAAGATGTATGGCATGAACACAACCCTCAAAAAATTGTTGGCGGAGACAAGACGGTTATGCTTGTCACAGGATTAAGGCCTGCAACCACATATCATTTTCGCCTTTATGCTGAAAATCAACTTGGCATGAGTGCACCAAGTGATGTGTTACATGTTAGTAAAATTGTAAAATTACAAAAATATAAAATGCATTAGTAGATACAATTCCATGGTGACAATCCAACACCTTTTACTTCAGGGAACCACAGATGGCGACATTCCTGCAGGAACTCCACAGCAAGTCGCCGCTGAAGCTATGAGTGCTCAGACACTTCGGATAACATGGCAACCTCCAGATAGAGATTTATGGAATGGCGAGCTTCTCGGATATAATATAGGATATCGTAAAGCGGGGTAATTTTACAAAGCATTGATACATCATGTCGCTCTTTGTAATATAATTTTCTATATTGTAAGGACTATATATTTGGTACTATGTGTATTATATGAACGTGGATAATATATTTTATAATATTCCATTTACATTTGGATTCAACAGTGGTCATTCTGTTATCAATGTCCGCTTAAATGCGTTGCAGGTCAGATAAAGAATTGTATAATTTCACGAGAGTTGCTGTAGCTGGTGATTTACCAGGAGATTTTCGTTTGACTGGACTAGCTAAATTTGCAAAATACAACATAATTGTCCAGGCATTTAACGTGAAAGGAGATGGCCCTCCATCGGAGCCAGTTATGGCAGAAACTCTGGAAGATGGTAAGCTCAATCGTATTCGTAAGTAGAAGGTTCGTTATAATTTAGCAATGGAGCAATCCTAGTCACAGGGCAAAAAATGATCGTCCAAGTGATCGTAATGAATTAAAAATATTGTACTATTTTGGTCGATGTGTTTTGGTGAAGTTCTGTTTTTTATGTAATGAAAGATATAGGCATTACAAGTTTCAGCAGATGAAGGTTATGCGGTAATAATAATCTATTTTGGTATTACATAGACTATATTTCACATTCTACTACTTAGTTTCATTTTATTCTAGTATGAAACATTATTAACAATATTCATAAAACAAGTTAATTATTCATTATCAAGACTATTACAAGACTAATTTTGTGACTACACGTAGAGTTGTGAATTTAATGTGAGAACAGCGTCGTTGTCTGTTTATGTGTAGCAATTAATTAAATACATGATTGAAAAAAATATGTCGTCGGTTTCGATTGAAAGTATGAAAGTAGACTACAATTATTTTATTTTATTTATATTTATAATCGAAAGTTACTCATTGTGTGACATTAGATTTCATAAGTGTGGTTGTGTAATCAATGGAGTGAAGAAATAGCCATATTTATATTCAGGTGTTGACAGGAAGGGTAAAAATGTTGATATATTTTACCAACATATGTACTTTCCTCTTCAATCATCTCGATTGATCAGATGATGATAGATAAGCTATTAGAATATGCTCAACTTTCAAATATGTATAAAAAATATTCCAAGAAGAATCAGAGAAAACAATCTGTTTATGGAAAAAAAGATTTCGACCCACAGAATTACACTCATCACAAAACACTACACCCAGAACCGTCCGATCCGCTGCTGTGGGTACGTTGGACGCCTTTAGCTAAGCCAATGATTTCGTTTTCACAGTCGACTGCCCATTAGGAGGTTGGATGGAGGCATGTCGTCGAGCACACTGGCCAAGACTAAAAAGCAGTCCAACGGTCGCTCCGACAAGCCCAACGGCCGCTCCGCCCATTGCGACATTGTCTGGACTCATGCCGCCCCTCAGAATTCGCGACCCGCCGGCAATGCTGTGCAACCTGCTCTGCCACATCCTGTGCCAGTACCTTTGGCACGCGGTTGCCTTCCGTACGGCTCGCTGCACGCCGACCTGTACGATGCCTAACACTCACACCCCAATATTATTTTTAGACTCGCCTGATGATTAGGATCATGAGTACTGGGACCCGGAGACTGGCAGAAGGTCAACTTCAGTGACGAGCCCCTTTTCTGTCTTATTGGCGCGAGCAACGAGTCGGTGACTGCAGGAGTAGGGAGTAGCGCCACGAAGAGTGGTTTACGGGATTGCATCACACGCCCCACTAGCCTGATATCATGGCGTGAGATGTAATGTATGGTGTCCATTCATCGATAGGGTTTCTCAAGTGCGCCATGAGAGCCGCACGATAGGATCAGGAAGTCGGGCAACCGCTGACTTTGCCGTTCACGACCTCCCATCCAATGCTGCAACAAGACAACACTCGTCGCTCCGACGTCCCATATAGATAATGTTTCGTTGAATGGTTTGCACGCTGATACTTGTTGATCGCCCAGCGTTAAAATCTGAAGCAATTTATGGAAGGGTTGCACTTCTTTCACGTGTAATGATTCTCGTCAGTCATCGTCGGTCCTTTGGCATCCGCAGCGATGCCAGAGGTTTGATGTTTTACCGGATTCCCGATATTCAAGGAACACTCTTGAAATGGTCGTACGGGAAAATCCAAATTTCATCGCAACCTCTGAGAAGCTATGTCCCATCTCTCTTGCGCCGATTATAACACCACGTTCAATCTCACTGCAATCGTGATAACCTGCCATTGTAGCAGCAGTAACGGACTTAACAAAAGTGCCAGACTCTAGTTGTCTTATATAGTCATTGCCGACCCGAGCTCCATGTTGTAATTGATTCTAGATCTTTTTACTTCAAGTCGCATGGCTACACCAGTTTTTTGGCTCTTCTGTGTATAAGGAGTTCTCACGAACATGGTAATGAGTACTGTAGTTTTACACATATAACTCCGTCTTTACACATATAATCTCGTCGTCTTCATAACGTGGAGAAAGCTTGTTTGGCACAGTTTTTCTCCAAGTTCTACCGTTCTCCTGCCTCTTATTCCACTAATGCTTCATCAATGATCTATCATTCTTTCCACTATCATGTATTCAATAGGTCTTTACTCTTTGGTTTTGATTACCTCAGTGGTGGAAAGAACCCTTAGCACCAATAAATAGAAAGTAATGAATTGAAAAGTGCCAATGCCAGAAAGTATTCCTGAGTATGGGTAAGTCTAAGAAACGGTTCAGTCTACCATCATAGACAGTTTGTGTAACATCACTTACACAGCGAATTGTTTTAACTACACACACACATATAGTAAAAATTTAAAAACTCGAGGTCTTCGCAACTTCGACTATCCAGACCGGCAAGATTTGAATTCTGTACATTTTATCCATTGAAATTAATATTATTTTTCTAGTATTTTCCAGTGTATATTTAGTAACAATACAAGTACACACACACAACACAGTACTTTTTATTCCATTACTCATTACAAGCTCTCTGGTGCTATAGCGACCACTGTAATTTAACATTGGTTTGGGTAACTATGAAGTAAGGGTAGCAGAACACGCATACGGACATACACAAATATCCATGCTTGGGGCGGGATTCGAACCCACGATTCGTCAAGGCAAGACAGCCGCAGACCTTCAGCCTTAGTGACTTCGATTATCGAGACCGGCAAGATTTGATTTATATCCAATCTAAATCTTAAATTATTTAAATGATTATTATTTTTCTATTATTTCTCAGTGTGCATTTAGTAACCTCCAAAACGGCACTCTATATGCATCTAAACAGTAATCTAGCTGCCTATTTCACTTATATTCCACTGTTTCCTAAAATAACGTAATAAAATAATATTCAGTATATATTTGTACACAATATTTTAGTTAATACCAATTCGCATAAGTGCCTATTTCTTTTTCGATGAAGAACCTACAAATGAAATGTGCTTGAGTGAACAAGAATGAACATAAATTGGATTCGATGTTAACAAAACACAATTTAATAAATTCTACTTTTTTCTTATTTTTAGATATTTTCTGTACATCAAGGAAATTCTCAACAAATTTCTGTAAAGAAAAATCTTGGGAAAATATCTGAGTATTTCATTAGAATGGGACGCTTAAAAATCACCAGGAATTATTCTTGTGTAAAACTCACTTGTGCAAATAATGGCGTAGTTTTTCAAGTATTATTACAATTCTTGGCGCGAATGCGTCGAACGACCGCTCACAAGACCATACGGAATGCTGCCAATAAAGACGCTGATCCGTAGTTATATAAGTATTTCTCCGGGTTGCGTCATATTATGAAATCGGTTCGTAGCATTCACAAATGGATATGTGCAAAGAAGTAGCACACTGCGTATTGTTTGATCTCTCGTTTTCTTTCCTTTTAACATCTCTCCACTGAAGAACTGATGCTAGAGTATGCTGCTTTCGATCGGACAATTCTCGCAGCCCAGCAGAGTTTATAAAATATTCGTGATCTGCAGAATTGAATTGACACTTAATTTAATAAGGTTTACAAAGTTAAACTAAGTTTGTGATTTTCCTTCACTCCAATGAAAGAAAACTCCAAAGTGTTATTTTTGAAATTGTTGTTTGGTATATTATTTTGGATAATTAATTTTGGTTAATTTGGTTTTAATTAATTTGGTATATATTTGGATAATTATTTTTATTTACTCTCCCTCACGATCTGAAGGATTGAGATATTTGTTTATACAGGTATTCAATTCTGCAAGAAAAAATTCTAAATGTATGTTCACTTAAGAAATAAGTCTACAAGAAATTTTAAATTTTCTAGGTTTTAATTTTTAATTATCCCAATCTTTAATTATCATTAAATCTTACGTCTAATCCAAAATATAGGGTTTAATAGATAATTTGATAGAAGTAAATGAAAAACAAATTATTTCATGGTGTCTCACAAGTGTGTAAATTTCATTTCTTTCAGTTCCTAGCTCCTCACCTCAAGATATTGAATGCACAGCACTCTCATTCCAAAATCTTCAGATCAGCTGGAAACCACCTCCAGATAATCAGGTTCATGGAATAATCCAGGGGTACAAGCTGTCTTATGAGCCTGCAGAGGAATGGTATGGTGGGTAATGGTTTTAGAACAAGTATATTAGTGATCAAACTCGATGGTGCTTTTAAACTTAATTATTTTACCCTTCAAATTTACATTATCCTGTTGGATAGGTGAAGAATAAAATTCAATATTTTTAAGTCTTTCTAAATGTCATGAATTACATAGTATATATATTTTATTATATCATATGCTATATTTTATACATCATTGTCGAACGACATTGATTGTGGCTAAAAGACGAAAGAGCCTTATTTTTAAAAATTTAACTCCCTATTTTTTCTCTTACTTTCGCAAAAAGAAATCAATATTTATATTTTTAAATCAACAATTTCGAATGCCACAACAAACTTTATTTTACAAGCATTCCATTAAGAAGATTTAAAACGTCTCGCCCTTTAGCCGCAAGGACTCTGTACCTGGTAATGTCTCCTAGCCTTTTTATAGCAATTTGTGACTGCACAATTTCTAGCATGTATCGTGTAGCTGTATTCTTTATCGTCCTGGAAATGAGTGGGACAGCATCGGACTTAAATGCAAATTAAACCTGACAACTGCTAATAGTACACTTTGAAAATATTATAACGTTTGAAAAAATCATCCACTTTTGATGATTTATTTTGGTTTTAATAAAAATTGTTAAAAACTTTTAATGTCTGTTAATGTATTTGTCGAAAGTCCGTACTGAGTTTTGAAATGCCTGATCTTTTTAAATTTAATCATTGTTTTTCGTTTAATTAAAAATATTGTGTTGGGTCCGAGTTAGCACCGGAGGTGCGGAGAGAATGAATTGAATTGTCCTGTAAACCGTTATAAAGAAGACCCTTTCGTCTTTCAGGAGTAAAAAATGCATCCATTTTGGTGGAAAATTGTGAAAGTTACGATAATTTGAACTTAGCTGCCTTTTAAAACTTTTTAGGAGACCTTCATGTAGAACTCATGGTGTATCTCTTAAAACTGACATCTCACTTCTCGTGAGTCGCAGTTTGTTAAAGTTGATTACTCCAAGTTAAAAAATAGCTAATTTCGCAAACATCACAAAAAAACCTTACATTTTTGCTGTTAACTCACAAATGAACACCTCAATATGTTTTGTTTACATCACGTATCCCCCACGTCATTCAGATTGACTGCAGGTAGCAACATGCAAGACTCTCATTCATCGAATATCGATAAATATCTGGAATATCACTCACCCGCAGAAAGTTTCAAAGGCCGAGCAACCCATTTTGTATTTGAGATATTTCAACATGAATAAAACTTATCTCAGGTTCAAGTAGCAAACGCACGTCATTAGAACAACGACATGTGCGGAAAATACGGGAACATTGTGATGCAGTCTAAATACCAACAGTTTTTGCATTGTAGATCATTACCGTCAACCGCAAATAATGTATTAGTGAGAGCCGGGTTTTGTCGCATTTACCATAGGTCGTGAAAAAAGGGAAGAAAAATTCCAGATTGGCATTACCACTTTGCATAATCGTTAGCAAACTGACGATAGGTCCCTGGAAGACAATTTTCTTCGTAGGGAAAATCTCTCATCCTCGCCTGCCCTAACACTTAACCTGTGAATATATGGCGAAGGTAACGCCATGTACGGAAAATAATTTTCATATTACTTTTTCGTCCTCCTAAATGTTATCCAAGCGTATTGTATAAAAACAATATGCATTCACCATGGAACGATTACGAAACGGCGCCACAAAAACGGACAATATATTCTAATATTTTGAAAGTCATTACCTCACTTACAAAGTCGATATATTTTTCTAATTCATCTTTTTCAAACCTTTTGCAATATACTGACACAAATACATTAATACCTGGGTTATCTGTGAACATTCAAACACAGTCAAAAAATCTATTCTGCATTGTGGCGAAGGATCTGTATCGGATAGGTGAAATTCAGCTTACCTAACTGCTCCATCCCTTTAGGGATCATCTCGATTGATCAGCTCGTGTTCGGAATTCACTACCGAAAAAATTGCAACCTTTGGTCTCCCAATTGACCGCCACGGTTCAATCGATTCACTTTAATCGCTAAAATGAAACTTGATTTTCCATTACAATTAACTAAATAAAGTAGTAAGCTAATGAAATGTAAAAAGGATATAAGTAATCAAAATCTGTATCAGTCTAAAGGAGCTTCATCACTTCTGCACAGGTATATTAAATGCTTGAAAATGTTGGTTTTTAAAAATTAAATATACTTTTCCCCATGAATTTGTGTACATTATTGCATATATTTTATCCTTTCAGATCAAGTGGTACCTGATACAAAGGTTACTACTGCTACAACTACTGTCTTGCATGGACTTCAACCTTATACTAACTACAGTCTACAAGTTTTGGCCTATACTCGTGTGGGAGATGGCGTAACAAGTCATACAGTGTATTGCATGACTGAAGAAACAGGTGTGAATTATTGATTCCTAATGTTCAAATCCTCAGTGGTTACTTACATGCTATGTCAGTATTTTAATTTTGAAAATTACTTATAATTATTGGTTAAAAATAATAATCGTTAGTGGGTAAGCTGAAGATCAGACTAACATGCTTCGCTATTAAAAAATGCAATTTTAATATTAATTTTATTTATTATTATTGTTGTTGTAATTAGTACTATTACAATTCACTAGTGTTCAGAAGGAGCTGGCGGTATACCACAGGTCTCAATCAAACAACGAAATATTAGAGGTATCATTCCTAGTTCGATTCTATTTTGCAGGATGTTTTCAACTAAATGTACTGTGACGTACCTGGGAAGCGGTACTTTCACGACAAATAAATTATGCAAGGGACAGGTACATTTTCGTGAATGGGTCTCCAGGAATTTGGCGCAGCATAGGAAGATAATCGTTATAAATTCTTTTGCACATCTAAATATTTTAATGATCAGAGAACACACTTTACAAATAGTATTTATAAATCGCAGGCCTTGGAAATGAGCGCACGGTCAACGCTACCTTGATGTTTTAAAAACCACCTGCTTCCTCTGGAGGCGACCGGGGCCGTCGTGGCAGCGGCGGCGGTGTCTTCGGCAATCTTCGGCTCGCCCCGATGTCCGCCTGGAAAACGCCCTCCCTCGGCGACGAACTCCTCTGGCCGAACGTAACGGCCGATGAATCCACCGGGGCCCACCCCAGCCGGTGTGAACAATGTCTCACGGGTATTGGAACGCACGACGCGTGAGTGATGTTCGTCGGCTGTTCTAGTCTTTCCAGCGGCCTTTCTCAACTTTGCGCGGATGTCCGTACAGTACTGCCCTCTATTATATTATATCAGAGCGGGATTATGACACGATCCCACCGGCCACACGATTTCCTGTCTTATTGTTTTTTTTATCAGTTCTGGTGCGCAATTCTACTTCCACTAATCACCTGATTGTTAATCCTTATCAAACCTGGTTCCACACTCAGCGGCCACACTCAGTCCGAACTGCACTTAACAACGACAATTAATCTCTTGGACGCAGCACTGCACCGTCCGTGCTTCACTCGAGGCCACTCTGCGCACCACTCTCTAACCGTCGCTCGCCTCGCCGTTTACCCCCCGATTTGACCGTTGGTGGCGGCGGCGGCGGTGGCGTTACTGCGCTGATCAACTCCAGTACTTTATTTTAATTATAATTAGTGATCAATTTTAATTGTTATAATACAGAAACGTTCTTCGTTTCAGTACCTAAAAAATAATAGCATATAGGCAAACGATCTATCGAACTAGAGACCCTGAGCGTTTGTAACGGATGTTAGGGACGACTTTACAAGTAGCCTTGACATTTCAAAATGACTAAAAAATTTTTTATTAAATTTTGACATCAGAATGCGTAAAAATTTCTTTAAAAAGGGCGAGGGTCTCTTTCGTTAAAATCCCTGATTTATTGAAAATTGTTCCAAAGTTCAAAATAGTTTTAGCGTCTTCCAACACCTACAATTAGAGATTTTTCTTCAATGTTCCTCCTGTCAATGTCAGATGTCAGATCTATCATTGTCAATGTCAGATCTTGAAAGAAGGTCATGTACAATTTTTCAAAATAATGAGGAGTTTTGGCATAACTTTACGTGAAATATAGGCAAATTGTAAACAATTGTTTTCTCAAAAAAAGCTCAAATTTGTTATTTACATTGTTCCTTGTATTTATCAAAGAATGGCAAAAGAAGTGACCCATTTTCGACCAACTCTCTGTATTTTCTAAAATTGCAAAAAAGTCATTACAAGCGAAAGTATTGAATTTTGAGATTTTTGTCTTAAATGATATGTTCTAAAATATTGATATTTAAAAATTCTCATGTATTTTTTTAAAAATAAGTAGTTTTCACATAATTTCTGTTTGAAGGTAATGCAATTAATAAAAAATCTTCAAAACATCTTTAAATTTGTTCTATGCATTTTTCCATGGATAGAACAAAGAACTTTAAAAAATGGCGCAGGCCTAATTTTCTTTAAATACTCTGACTTCTTTAGAATTGCGTATTAGAAATAAGAATAGAAGAGACAATTAGTTGTTTAAGCGTCGACAAAAATGAGTGGGAGCGAACCACTGCGAGGTGTAACGGTAAAGCTCGGGGCGAGTTTACTCCTTCGACGGGATTTCGTGTCTCGGCGCGGACAAAAACATTTTTGCTGTTTGGAATCACTTTGGAAGGTTTTGAAGTAGAATAATACTGGTGAGCCGTTAAAATAATGCGAGAAAGTATGTGCTGTTATAGCTTCACTGATTTAGTATAGAAAATGGTTAATAATGTTTATGACACCACAGCTTAAAATAAGTGCAGTCTTCGCTAACTCACTTATTTTATCAGTATATATTTTACACACCTATCACGATTAGCGAATTATCCGTAGAATTAGTTCTGACGAGTATCGTAAAACTAAAAGTATTCAACCTTTAAAGTCTTTGTGGGTAGATAAACAATAACTGGCAACATTGCGCAAACAATCGCTTATCGCAATTCCTGTAAAAGAAAAAAATCGTAATGGTAATTTTAAAATATTATTGAAATTTAAGTAAAACTTTGAACATTGGTTTTCGTGTTGTTCAGAATACTTGTACACTACAACGATGGTCAATGGATTTATTTATTTATTTACGTCAAAAACAGTTAAAAACTTTGTCTGAAGTGCTATGGGGAGAAGTTAATTTGAAATTACATTTATGTCCAGAAGCAAAACAAGGGGCTATCTCAGCATTTGCTCGAGGATCAGAGAAACTGGATGAAAACCTGATCGAGATGGGGGTCATTGACCCATAAGCTGAAGTACAATACTTTAGGTTATACAGGTTCTTTACAATTATACAATCCAAATGATATATAATACATTAAGTGTCATTGTTAAAATTAATATTACTTTCCTATTGGATGCTCGGTATAATCTCCAATTGTATACAAATAGTCGTGCAGCAGAAAAGATTTTACTTGGGACTTAAACTTTTGTATCAAATTTAATCGTTTAATGTCATCTGGCAAGGTGTAAAATAATGTACATGTATTGTATGTGGCTGTTACCTGATGAATATGATTACTACGTCGAGTGTTGTAGTTATAGACAACGGCGTTTGCTGAAAATATATTCTCGCCCTTAAGTAAGTCATTTTTAACAAAACCACTGATTCATATATGAAGAGACAAGGTAATGGTAAAATACCTAGTTTAATAAAGAGATGCTTTCAAGAATCACGTGGGTCGGCTTTGCTTATTATTTGTACAATTCTCTTTTGTAATCTAAAAGTCTGGGAGCTATAAGATGTATTTCCCCAGAATATTATGCCATATCTCAGATGCGAATGAACATTCGCGAAATATACACAACGAGCAGTGTGATTTCTCACAGAAATCAGCTTCTACAAATATTCGAAACAGCTATTAATTGAAGAAGATAAACTGAAAAAAAGTTTGCTATTATATAACGTGTTATTTATTTTTGTAGAATCTTTTATAATGTAGCACATTCGAATAAGATTGAAAAGCCACATAAATTGCGATAAAAATATTAGATAAAATATATTTATATTTTGGCTTACCAATAATTTTACATTCTTGTAACGATGAGGATGTTACGTTCCTTTCCTTTTACATACTTTGAAGTTACATTCTTTGTTTTGTGTTGTTTTAACACTTTTGAAATATGTAAAAAATAACCATAAATTGACGTTTCTTACTTCTAATCACGCACTTTCTTGTAAGAAACGCCTTTTCTTCAACAAGATGGCGTCAATCACAAATATTTTGCTTACATCAAAAACCGTAACTAATAAACGTTCGCGATTTGCACCAAGTATCAATTAATTTCGAGAACTAAATACAAAATAACTGTTTTATGAAACTTCCAGTATATTACCTTCATTTTTAATTGCCTGCATGTATAAAATCTACTCGCGACAGTATAGATGAGTATCAGGCTCTCCACTCCCCCCTCCCCAATCACATCAGTTTGCGCGGCAGCCAAGCTGCAACCTCCTCCGTGGACATCTGCGACCTCCTCCGTAGTCCGCCTCCAAAAGGAGTTATCTAACTTCAACTTTAATGAACAAATATGCAATATAAAAGCCTCTCCCAACAATGTTTCACAAACTCAAATTCAGTTTTCATGTTAATATAATTATATTAAAGTTTTTTCTTACTCTGAGCCTGTGGATTTTGTTAGTCCAATCTACTCAGCCTACCCCTAGGTCATATCTTTGTAAAACAAATAAAGATGTATCAATATCAAAACTACATTAGCAATTACGGATTTTGTGTTATTTTACATCTACATATGAAGTGATGATCATCAAATTCATGCATTTGGTGTCATCATCCAAATTTATCCATTTGAAATGATTTTTGTTTTGTCCTAAAAATTATAATAAAGTTTCTTTATTTTCAGTCCCAGAGGCACCTGAAAAAATTAAAGCCGTTGTGGGCTCTAATGATACTGTTATAATCAGTTGGCTTCCTCCAAGGCATCCAAATGGTATTCTCTCAAAATATACTGTATATATCCGAGTTCTAGAACAAGGTGAAGAGACAAAAATAATGAAGGCAACATTGCCTTCCCATCAACATTATTATAAAGCAGTTGGCCTAAAAAAGAGAGAAAAATATGAGGCATGGGTTACTGCCTCCACAAAAATTGGACAAGGTCTTAGTACACCAGTGATACAATTATCACCTAATTCAGTAGGTAAGGAAATAAGAATACCAGGTAGCTGCTTGTAAGCAGTGGTAACTGCTTGTAAGCAGTGATAACTGCTTGTTAGCAGTGGTAACTGCTTGCAAATATACAAATATTCATTAACAAATTTTAAAATTGTTAATGAATAAGAAACTAATGATATTGAAATGAGTAATAAAAGCAAATGGCAAAAGAAAATGTCCCTTTGAACATTGATATTTACACATTTGTTTGTATAATCATTCCTGAAATTCAAACGAGAAAAATCATAAAGTTCTCCAACATTACTACAATTGTTTAATCCATTTTGTGCAAGAGAATGGAAGATCTAATATTAAAAATAAAATAGAGATTCAATTTCTTTTTAGAAAAATTTAAAATGGTGTTACATTTTGTAATACACTGGCTCTGTAAGCATGTACATTGCCCAGCCCGGCCATGTTGGAAGAATTGCGGGACAATTTCAAATGTGGTTCCACGTAGTGCACAACAGTACAATTTGTTTTTGATTCCCATGTTTGTCACCAAGGACCGACCCAACATCAGTGTAAATTACTTTCTCTGGCCCCTGACTGAGCGAATATGGGCTCTTATGAGAATGGTAATTATATGTAAAGCCCGAGCCTTTCATACTTGTCCATTGCCTACTCCCCTTCATGGGCTGAACTGTTGAATATTTTCAAATAAGGCACCACATAGGCACCCAATGCCGCCATCTTCGCAAGCATTACCTAGGATCCTTTTACATGTCATACGAATCGTACTCGTGTCACTGCACACTGGGAAATTTCCACGTTTTGCGGCCCCATAGCAAATTTGAACCTGTAAACCTGCGTTTAAGACGCTCACTGAAGACGCATATGTTTTTCAAATAATTGTAGGGAGACATTTTTATTTTAAGTGAAACAAATGACATGGTGCGTTAAATTGTCTTTTGAAACAGCTTTCTTTCATTGAAAGATGCTTTATTTGTGAATCTAGCTAATCCTATTAAGTTTTGTTTTGTATTTTAATCGCTTTTTGAAGTCGGTAAAATTTTACATTTTGACTCTTTGTTTCTTGTCAATTGTATTAATCCAGAAAAACCTAGAAATTTATTTTTCTTATAGTGCCTATTTTACTGAACATAGTGAACTTGGTGTCATGATTGATATGACGTGAAAACACACATTGCAACAAACAAACAAAAAATAGTACGATTACACGAGCTACATCTATTTGTTTTGGCATCCACAGATAATTAAAGTGGCCTTCTAGATCACTCAGCATCACATCCAATGAATGCTAGTGGTTGTTCCTATAACAACTCTGAATTTTAACTATCTAATAGATCTCTCTGAGTGTTTCAGGTGAATGAGGTTGTGATATCTACAGTGTGTCATATCAGTGTCTGCATGATTGGGCAGGTATGAAATGTCTTTCACAAGAATTAAACACATTTATGACCACCAAATCAAGAAAATTTTCTCTATGAGACATTACCCCAAAGTTTTGACCATATTCTATTTGAATACAACAAATGAAATGAAGTATCAATACAACCAAGTAAAGTGAAAAATAACATAGGAAAACTGACACACATATGTAGTACGTGTGAACGTGATATTATCAAGACAATTGATATTTTATAACTATGTACTCGGTTAATTTACATCTTCATGTAGGTACAGTGGAATTCCTTTAAACAACCACTTCCTTAATGACCGAACTTTAAAACCGAACTTGACGCGTATGTATATCCAATGACGTCTATGACATTCATAGACTGACGTCAATGACAGTGTATAAACTATGTATTTTCGAACTATTTACCACGATTACCAACCACATTTTATGCTCTAAAATCTCACTAAGTGACGAAACATTGACTTCTCAAAAGTGTAAAGTTATGTTACGTAAAACTAAGAGTAACCGTCAAAAATTACGGGACGAAAACAAACTTCCTTATTAATAATACATTATAATGAATAGAAAATAATTTATTTTCTTTGATACTACATTACACTTTTTTCATTTCATAATTTCCTTTCATTTTCAGTATTATGTTCTCAAACTGAAATTCACAGTCAATTCGGGACGCGCGAAGTGATTTTAATAAGACTGAAGGATCCACTAAGTGAAATTTGGGGCTATTTGTGATTGGTTGGATCTTCCATGGAGGAAACCCATATAGCCCCTCTGATATTTATTGTACTAGTTTTGATACACTGCATTCTCGTAATCCAATAGCATGTGTGTCGAAGATTAGACCCATTGAGTCTGTCAAATTTTGTGAAATCATTTGATCGTTGCGTTTCAGTTTCGTTATGCTATACTGTATCTATTTTATGTATTATTTATTATATCTATATCTCACGTCATAAATAGAGTATTTGACATTTTTTTTAAATAAAAGTAGCCAACATGCAAATTGTATATGGCAATGAAGGCTTTCACGGCCGGAGTCAATATTAGTGAAAGTTTCGGGGCTGATAGGCCAATTGGTGTTTCAACAGTCGACAAACGAAATCAGTTTAGGAAAACTTACTTGGTGTTGCTGTATTCTGAAAATTCAGTTTTCATTACCATCTAAACCCCATTCAAAACCTTTTCGCGAAAACTATCGAAATGTAGATTTCGCTCCAATAGCATCACGTTTAAAGCCATCCGGTCGATTTTTAATTTGTTACTGCGTATTGCCACGTCCCATCCAAAACATTGTTCTTGGCAACAAATCCTTAAAGCATAAGTAATATTGCAAAAAAAGTTTCAATCTTCCTTCAGTTGCCCAAACGTTACAAGACAATCGTAGGGATGAAGGAAATTATGATATAAAATATTAATACGAGTAGGCAAGGGAAGCGGCCTCTGCTTTATGACCTTGAGACTCTGGCACGCTCATGGGTGTCCACGGCACAACATTCACTGGGCACGACAAGGGTTCACTTCAATAACTTACATCTCAGCGTTTTTCAAGAAACTGAACGAGGGGAACAAACGAGCGCCACATTCACTCAGCGCTATGTTGAGATCAAATCAACTGATTGATACATGTCGACTCCAACTTTATTAAAAACCTATTTCTTTCTTTAATTTCCTCTTTTTTCTCTTTATTTATTCCTCTCTTTCTCTCTCTCTCTCTCTCTCTCTCTCTCTCTCTCTCTCTCTCTCTCTCTCTATCTATCTATCTATCTATCTCTATCTATCTATCTATCTATCTATCTATCTATCTATCTATCTATCTATCTCCCTGTCCTTCTCCCTCTCCCTCTCGAAAATTGCAACGAGTTAACATTTCAAAACTAAAAACTGAAGGTAGAGATTTTTGCTCTAAACAAAGTATGTTCTAAAACTAGTGGTGCTAAAACAGCCCATACTCTCTCGCCCTCGGTAATGCTTGCGTAATACTATTTATACCGCAATTTCTCTCCAAATTAACCCAAATTAACATGTAAATATTTTTGTAACTCAAATTTTTGAAACATTGTAGATGTCCTTATTTCAAAATTAATATTTAAGAAACAGATTCCGTTAAGGAAAAAATTCTCTATATTTAATATTTTAGCTGTAGGAAGAATTCTAAACATTTTGAAGTTTTGCAATTTTGAAAAAATCAGGGTTTTTAACGAACATGACACTTGCACTTTTCCCTTAAAAGTACTTCACACTATCCAATATCAGAGTTTAATCAAAAACATCGGAGTAATTTTTTTCAAAATTTTGCAAATGTCCCAGAGGCTTCATAGAAAGTAATTCCAAAAATTAAATATCGACTTCAAATCAAGGGACTGCGACATCATCTAAATGAGTTACGGAATATCAATTTTGGAGAAAATCGGCTGAACTGTTTGGCCGTTAGCGTTGTTCACAGACAGATGGACGGGCGGATGGACAAAATACGTTTTACCGTCATTCGATTTTTAGGTATCAAGTTCCCACAAAACATGTATTCTGTCTACACCACGTATTAAAGGATTTTTTCTAAATTTCAGAACTGTAACAAGAGTTTTTCTGCCGAAATTCGCCGTTTTTTTCGCGCAGCAATACACAAATTTCTCTCATCTGTGTAAGAGGTAACGAGCAAGTAAAATTAGCCATTTAAGAAAGACCATCTACAATTTTTTGTAAAAATGCGTAGTTTCCGCTTAATTTCTGCTTGAAATTAATGCAACTAGAAAACATTTTTCTCAAAAACCACTCAATTTTTTCTTTAAATGTTTTCCACGGATTGAACAAAGGAATTACGCAGATCGCAGTTTGGTTGAACTCTGAATTTTTGAAAACTGCATTTGGAAAATAATAGTACAAACATTTAGATTTTTAAGCGTTGGCGCAAGCAAGTATACCAAAACGATTGCGTGATGTACCGTTATAGTTCTCGGTGATTTAACTCACTGGATTTAACTCAAGTCTTAGCTGAAAATTCGGAAAAATGTTTGCTGTTTGAAAATACTTCTGGAGGTTCATGTTGAAGTATAATATTGCGGTTCTGATACAAATAATGCAAGAAAGTGTGTGCTGTTGCAGCACCCCCAGTTTGAAGAAACAACACTTTCTCTTTGAATACCCCCCCCCGAAACGAATATTACTATCGAGATTTATTGAATAACTACATATTTTACTCTATACCGTACTAGTATACTAATATACAAGAAAGTAAAAATGTAAACATCCAATCATATGTAACTCTTTTAACTGAAACCTATTTACTTCTGTCATAACTATCACGATTATAGGCCATTTTTGTCACCTGAATCCTACGTATAAATTGGCTGATTATATATTATGTTCTACTGTGTATTTCATTAAAACACTAGCATTTGGCGGAGAAGAAGCTGATCAGACTTTTGAATTTAATCATCAGTCTACTCAGTCATTTGCCACCAAACTGGGGGTGTAAGTAATGTGCCACCAATTTAATTTGAAATGAATAATAATTTTCACAGACATCCTTTCTTTAGAGTATATAGGATTTTAATATTTTCTTGTGAAATTTTTGTCTAATTTGTTAACAGCAAAGAACTAATAGTCTGCAGCAGCAAAAATGCTTTTCTACAAAATAGCACGCACACTGCAGAAGAATGACAAATAAAAACTCTCGGATAACTCAATAATAAATTAAACATTATAAGACAAACATTATTCACGAATATTGCAATAATATAGCATAGTATACATAGAGTCCAAGAGATTTTTAGATACAAGAATATAAAAAATTGCTGTTCCGTAACACTACATATTTAATGTCGGACGACTTCTTCTTTTGAGCATTGCTATAACATGACGTCAGCTGTTTCGTAAGCAGTGACGCACTGAGTATGAAGTTTGAATCTGTACGCGCAGTATGAGAATAGGCGGAATAACACAATCAAATATTTGCATTTTTCCGACAAAATCGAAACTTTTTCTAGAATTTTGATTTTTCCCATGTTCTTGGGTATCTAAAGGCGTGAAGTGCAGTGACGTTATGAAACTGAGAGAAGTGAGTGTGTAAGAAAGACCTTACAGCTCGCTGTTTCGCAGTGCGGTGAAGTGAAGTGTGGTGAAGTGGAGTTCTATGAAAGATTGCACGGTGAAATGTTCACGTGAATTTGTAAAGTTTGTAGATTTTGTAAAGTTGTTAAGTTCTGTAATGTTAAGTTAGTGTATTCTGCCACCAAGTTCTCACACTTAATTGCAGAATTATTAATAAATCTTAATCTTAATCTTAAAGAAAACATCAACACTTCTCACATGGCTGGAAGCTGCATAATTTTCTTTCGATTGCTGCATGCATTACAAATTAGTAATGTAGATACTTTGTATTTGTTTCAGTTCCAGCTGCAATTGTTTCCTTTGGTCAAGTTTTCATTGTACCATGGAAAATGGATTTAAAATTGCTTTGTATATGTGTGGGTGTGCCAAAGCCATCAACAGAGTGGAAACTTGGAGACCTTAAATTACATAGTCAACCTAGGTAAGAAGAGTGTATTAGATTTCATTATCTGAGAGTGCCTAAATAAAGTAAATATCAATGGATTTTGTTTTACATTTTAGAATTCAAATAACTTCTGAGAACACTCTCATCATTGAAAGTGTACAAAGGACCAATGAAGGAAATTATTCTTGCATTGCCAGAAATAGTTTGGGAACAGATTCCATTGTTTATTCATTGCAAGTTCAAGGTAGGTGTTGTCATATTATTTAATGTTTTATTGCTGTTAGTTTACGGAAAATCGAAACGCGAGATAGAAACATTAGAGTTATGAGTATATTTAAATACTTTATTTTTGATCAACTGTAACATGAGTGGGTGAACAGACGTCTTTTACTATGTACAGTCTTTCGCATATATGAATGACCATGTGCAATGAGAGCACGATATGCAAACTACTTTGTCCATACGTCAAATGCTTTCTCTCCTTTTGAAAATGAGTCACAATTATTTTTATCGCGCGCTCATGAATACTTATTCCGAGGCTTTCAGTTTTGAGAAAAGTATACTACAAGCTCCCTATGCAATGACGACCAATGTATATTTCAGTTTGAGATATAATACATGAGAACTTCGACATCGCCGACGAAAACTAGCGCTGCTAATATCACCTATCATTTGTAACGGTTACGTAATATGATAATATTGCAATTGGTATCCTACGGACCTTCAGACACCACGTGAAAAAACATTCTAACGCCCTAACACTGTGGGCGTTCTGCCGGAATATTGGCAGGCGGCATGCATAGCGTCAGGGCGGGTCAAAAATGATGGCGAAACTATCCTCCCATTCGACTGAACTCAACCGATCTCCGGTGTTGGAGACAGTCGTCTCTGCTCGGCGGCAGAGCTCGGAGAATCCTGTGTTGGCCCTCTGAATTATTTTGTTTAGATATATGCGAAGTTCGAGATATTGTTCGTAGTTCATGGCTGTAGTTCGTATTTTACGTCTAGCATATTTGTGTGGCTGATGTGACTGTGTGACTAATTATAAGCAAGAGTTAGCACCAAAACTTAGCAGTCATCTTTTTCTTTTAACTTTAGGAACATTTATCTTTAACAAAAATAGTAGTACATGATCATTTCTACAGCACTATATACATTGTTTGTTAAGTTAATCACAAAATTGTTAACTGTTTGTTAATCACAAAAATAACTACAAAACTACCAAAAGGGTTAACTATTTAAATGTAAAAAAGGTATAACTCAAAAAATGTCTCATTTGTTTCATAATATAATAAAAATTCTTGTTTAAAAACGAATGACTGTATATCAGATGAGCTGATTTGCGATAACTAAGGTTTAAATGTAAAATATTTTAAAAAATGAACCCTGTAAGTAAAATAGTTTTTTAGATATGTGTACCTAAAAATTATAAAATTAACATGGGCAACATAGGGATTCATTTTCCCCGCAAATATTAGTATAAAACTGGGGGAGGGTAGTACGATTATGAAGCCGTGTGCGGATATGAAATGCGATCAATAAATTCCACCACAAATTTCTCTAATGACGAGGTTTAATCGTAATCACCAGTTTTTTCTTTCAACCTAGTTCACACGCGAACGATTTTTTAGGAGCGAGGGGAAAAGCATTACGTCGGCTTCAGAGGTTCATCGATTTTTAGATTCGGGTGCCACTATTGACTATCAAATTATATCACTACACCCCTTCGACTTGAATTCAGGTCTCGCTAAGGACGGGTTTTGAGGCAATGAGGACGGGCAATGACGACGGCAGTTGCTATCGATTTCCATGATTATTTACTTAAACGTCTTAGTTGAGTTATGTAGTAATGTTACACATTTGATTCAAACAACTGTCAACCTCTTCGAATATATGCGATATATTTAAATCATAAAGCTACCAAAAAAATCTATTAGAACCCTATTGCTATAATGAAGCTACTTAAACCATCCACGTTACAACTTCAATGGAAAATCATCGTATCATTTTATTATAAATCCAGCTCTTTTGGACGCATGGATAGAGAGGTCCACATTTGTGAATCCTAATGAAAGAACTGCGTCCGATTTTACTTGGTTTGCCAAAAGAACGGAAAAAACTTACTTCTCTTTGCTACAACTCAGAGTCAACTTCTTAGAAAGTAGCTTCGACTTTTTACAGAAAGGATAGTTTCCTTTGAAACCAACTCACTCCAAATACTCTCATTATTTGGCGTTGACCTGCTGCAGCCTCGTTAGCACTGAAACCAGCTCAGCTCAGCGGAATGAATTCAGTCCTGAGATGTCATCTGATTTAACGTTCTTTCAATCAAATCGGGTGCGTTAGAGTGTGACCTTCCCTGCCAGTCGGTTGCTTACTTCCGTCAGTCCCCACGTACTGAATTTATTTGTCTTAAGCAGTTAGAATAAAATTTCACTGTGCATTTCCTAAATAATACAAAAAATAACAATGTACTACAAATATAAATGCAATTTTAATTTTTCATATTTTGGCATACTATTTTAGCACATAACGTACGTACGTTAACGTACGAAGTATAAAGTGGTTTGAAAATTGCCTTCAGATCTTACAGGGACATAATGATGCAATTTCTGGGAATGTGTAAATTGCTGTCATTTATGCAATAATAGCAATGCTATATGGGCAATTCGAAGAGTCAGAGAGTTATGCCTGCCTTACAGTTCGTTGTCAACATTAACATACTGAAATTTTGTTGATCTGCAAAAATGTTTGCGTAATGTAAAACAGCAAGTGACATTACATTACTATACACTGAGTGTCGCGTAGTCAATGGAAACATCACTTGCAGCATTTCTCCACGGTCATTGCTTTCGTACAGGGATGATTTCACCTTCGAAGAATCTAACTGACGGTCTCTCATCGTCTGTATCGAAAGTTTTGTGTACATGAGGCACGTATTATTTCTTCGATGACCAGAATATTTTTACGATTTCGCAAGAACAAAATATCACACACGACGACAAAATACCACATTGTGACGCAGCTGTCTTTCAGAGGTCCAAGGTCAATTTTGAATAATCTTGCACAGACGATACTGCATGCAACAGGGGAAGATACACAACACTGCGAATAATCAATATCAATATTTTCACGGAAATGCGCATTTTGTTTGCTCTTGATAACGAAAGTTGTATTATACTTTCTCATAAACATTGGACAGCGAAAGTAATACAACAAAAACACGAGGGCGAGATTTTGCGATGTTATAATATTACGTAACAAATAATACGGCTAGGAAAATATGTGCTGTTGCAGCTCCACTAGCTTAATTTATTTTCAATTAATTGCATCAAAAACAATAAATAATTTTGTGACGTTTGTTGATAAGAGAAATCTACAATTACTGCCTAAAAGCTGAAAAGAGTGGATCAAATTCTCTGTGGAGCCAACACAAGTGAGATATAATCCCAATTAAGAGCGGGATTATTGCTCCAAACCTATAAACATTACAATGGTCTTAAAACTCATACAATATGAACATTTATTTTTAAAGAAATAATTATTCTTGTCGGCGTAATGTCCATCTCCGTTCAGTTTTTGGAAATAACATACTAGAACATGTTATTTACATAATATTTATTTGTCCGTTCCCACTCATTCGTGTATTGTGACAAATATAATCCCTCTACTATTGTATCATAATATTTGCATGCTTTTCTTAGATGATATAAATATTACTTCATATTTAACATTCATAAAACAAAAACTGTGTGAAATAGACTAATAAACCAATATTTTTAAGCTAATATAACATGTCTGATAATTGTTATGACTTTAGTCTCACCTGTAATCTTATATGCTAACAATATCAATGCCATTTTTTCTCCTTAGTGCCTCCAACTCCTCCTCTACTGCTAGCTACAGCCGTGACTCTCACTTCCGTCCAACTGCAATGGAAACAAGGAGATAATGGGGGAGCTGCAGTGAAAGGATTTTTACTTTCATACAGACGAGATTATGGCGAATGGGAGGAAATAAGTGTTGACAGGCGTGCCACTACATATCTGTTAGATGGTTTGTTATGTGGCACGCGTTATCAGTTTCGTCTTGCAGGTAATATAGTCATGCAACCGTTATTGTCTTAATTCATAATCCACACATGCAAACATTAACACATATAAATAAATATATAAATACCGCGATCTCAGATGCATTTCATTCGCTTTAGATCTCAGTACATAATAAGGACGTCCCGAAAAGAGATGAATCTGTCAGAATATTCTTTGATTCGAATCTTTTTACTCACTTTATAGTATAGATATTGTAATTCACATAGTTTAATGTAATAAAATATACCTTACATAATGGTCAATACAAAAGCACTTGCTGACCTATTTTTAGAGCTCTTAGATAAACAATTATTGCCTGTGATCTCAATTAGACCTTATACATAATCAAAGTTTTCTGCGAAGCTTGTTTTTTATAGAGTTCTTAGTAGGTTTTTTTTTCATCCTTGCCATTTCCCGTTTTTACGGGATCGGTGTTAATGGAAGCGGGCTCAAGTTTTATTAATTTTCAGGACAATCAATTTTACTCTGATTTGGCGATGTTCTTACGGCCGGATGCTCTTCCTGACGGGGGGCACACAACATTTCACATAGACAACTCACACAATCCCGAAACACACAAAACCATGCCAGAGGCGGGACTCGAACACACGATCCTTCGGTCCTAGATCGATAAGGCACTACTGCTTTAGCGATCTCGGCTACCCGGATCGACTTATGAAATTCTTAATATCGCACTTAATTAAATAATTGCATATCGATTATACCCTTCTCACACAAACATTCGACTTTCTCTAAGACTCATTTTTGGTACCCATATCTTCCCTTCGAACATAAATGCACTAACGTGTCCTCATTAGTGACGAGTGTCTTTGCAAATGACTCTAAGTGTTCTTTACAGAAGTGAAACGGTAAGTAGCACCAGAGTGGATATTTCAAATTAGTTTCGTTATAATAAATTTGTAATAAATAAAGAAAAATATATATTGTCATGGAAATAGGAATACCAGAAAACCATTAACATGATACTCTGACACAAGCAATCAGGGCAAATACCAATACAAATTAATATTCTACTGATAGAGATCAATTTTACATATTTCTTTTACTTTTAATATGGCTAATTCTGTACTATATAGATTAAAACATCTCTGTACATTAAAACAATGCTATAAAAATATAATCACTGGCGCGTAATTTATTTTTGCAGTTTTCTTTATTTTCAGAATAATGATTTTAGCCACATAGAATAATGTATCTTGATACTGCAAAAATGTTGAGGTAAGGCTGCATATAACACAATTGTGGACAATTGTGGTGTGTTAAAATGCGTTGGATATGAAATTGCGTTTTGTCAACGGATTCCAGTTGTGCGAGTCAAAATTTAATAAGTGCACATCACTAGAGAAGAAAACACTAAACCACTTCAGGGACAAACTTGTCCAAGAATATATCAATACAGGAGACAGTTGCAAGTGAGATGCAAGTTTAGAGTATTTTATTAATTGCGTTGCGGCGATTAATAATAATAATAATAATAATAATAATAATAATAATAATAAGTAATAAATTCAAAAAGTCTGGTAACGCAAGGCTCAACGCTCGTAGACCATATCGACGAGTACATTGGACACCATCGCGACGTTGCTAGACTACAATGGTGTTCTGAGCGATTGTCATGGAACTTGGTGCACTGGCAACGAGTGATCTTCAGTGATGAGAGTCACCTGACTTTTGAACCAGCGATATGTTCACGAGGAGTAGCCGTACCTCTTGTAAACACTCTCGCCAGTGCTCTCTTTCAGCAAGACCATGCGTATCCTCATTTCGCAGCTATCTTGAGTGATTGCCTGAAAGTCATTCGGGCTCTGGCATAGCCTACCATATCGGCAGTATATTTTCAATAGAAAATGTGACTTGATAAAGGGTGTGTTATTCAGCATCCTCCCTTACCGTAAAATAGGGAGGAATTGCAGGTAGAAGTCAATCAAACAGTATGAGACAGAGTAGCATAGAAGATCATTACGGATCCGAACAATTCGATGCCATGAAGTCTGGAAGTGTTTTATCGTACACCAAGCTGGAATACTCGGAATAACACAACGTGTTTGTGTAACGTATTAAGATGCACTCTTATCATAGTCAAATTGGAATCATTTATCAGTGAACTTGAACTTTTTGCCAAATAGCACATCTGTCTGAACTCCCATTCTACATGCTACTTTTTCGGGGTGTAGTAAATTATGACTTTAAGTGTTTCCGAAATGTTAATGGGGTGTATATCACCAAAACTGCACCAGTAATGCATTCTCACACATATTGTTTTTGCAGCGTTTAATAAAATTGGAAGTGGAGCAGCAAGCAAACTAGAAACAGCAACAACTAAAGGTGGTAAACCTAAAGAACCATCTGTAAACCCATTTCTTCAAGTGAACCGAACTTCAGTCACTCTTTTCTTGTCAACATGGCAAGATGGAGGGTGCCCCATTTTGTACTTTGTAGTTGAATATAGGAAAGGAAAATCCGATTGGACACTTGGTAAGTTCATGGCATATTATATACGTATTCGACTGTAGACACCCTTCATAGCATTGTAATATATTGTTACATTACTTAAGAGAAAAGTTTATATTTTATTAATTTCACATTTTAATGAAAAATTCAGTATTTATGTTACAAAAATCTTACAAAACTTTCTTTGGCATAAAAATGCTGCGTTTTATTTTTTCAGTGTCTAACAATGTGCTGCCACAACCTAAATTTCCTATTATTGATATGACACCTTCCACACAGTACACATTACGAGTGACAGCTCACAATAATGCTGGGTCTACTCAGGCAGAATATAAATTTACAACACTCAATAATGCAGGGGGTAGGTATCTTACTTAAGTATTGTTTTCTGTCTTTAATGTCAGCTCTCGTCAAGGAGTTTCTCATTAGGAATTCTCAGAAACTTTGTATACAATTTTGTTATTTTCTCTGAATCATTTTATTCTTGTTTCAGGAGAACATTTACCGGAAACAAAACAATCTGATAATTCAGATGAAGTACCATTTTATCGAGATAGCCATATGGTGATCCTGAGCATTGCTTCGCTTGTTGCAGTAATATTAGCAATGGCAGGAGTATGCTTCTGCCTTCGCAGAAGTATGTTGACTCACAATTATATTCTTCTATGTTATTCTTTAATATCATTGCGAGGTATAAGAGACTGATAAATTGATCCATTGGAAACAAACTTTTTCGGTTGTCTTTTAACGCTTTTATTTTCTAAAAGTTGCCAAAATATTTTTGTGTGATTCTCGAGAAGAAAGGCGAAGTTAATTTGTTGTTTCACTAGCTTCAAATCTTCCAAAAGGGAGAATTGCTTTACAATATTTTGTACAATTTGAACAAATACACTAGCGAAAAAAAGGATTGCAACACCGGGAAGGTGTAGGCGGTAAGGGACGTTAGCGATGGGGGTCGAAGAAGCCTTCATTAACATTTCACGCATGACTGCGCCCTACAACGAAATGGCAGCGTTACGAATGCGGACTTGTCATTACTCCGCAGCTTTAGAAGGCGCTGTTCACTGCGATGAGGTGTAGTCGGGACTTAGGTATGCCATGACGTCGCACTCGTTGGTCCTTTAAGCAATTTAACCACTTTGAGCGGGATCGAATTGTCGACCTGCGCGAAGCCGGGTGGACCTTTCGACATATTGCAAACCACGTGGAGTGTGATGCGACATCGGTGCTGGCGGTGCGGGCGACGATGGGTTGCCCTTAGCCGTAAACCCACTTCGAGGAGACCGCGGAGCACAGACGAACGTCAATATCGACGCAACGTGAGACCTGTGTTATCAGATCGTTCGGCCACCCACGCCAAGATGCAGGCACATGTGGCCCCCAACGTGTGTTCACGCACCGTTCGGAACCGGTTACTTGCTGCAGGGTTACAATCGCGCATACCACTAGCCCGACTGCCACTCACGCGGAACCATCGTTTGGCACGTTTGGCGTGGTGTAATGTGCGATGTGCGGGTCAGCTGGGAGACGGAATGGCGTGCAGTCGTGATTAGTGATGACAGCCGCTTCTGCCTGCACGTCAGTGGCGGTCGTGTGCGTGTGTGGCGTCGCACAGGCGAGCGCGTGCGGGCGCAGTGTTCGTCAACGTCACGTAAAGTCCATCCCGGGAGTGATGGTGTGTGGTGCCATCAGTTGCAACGCGCGTTCGTCATTGGTGTTCGTGGAGGGGTCCTTGACCAGCGCTGGATACATCCAGCACGTTGTGCGGCCTGTGCTGACACCTTTCTTGCAACGGGAGGGTGGTGCGTTCTTCCAGCAGGATAATACCCGCCCTTACACTGACTGCACTTTGCAACACGCTCTCCTTGATGTTCGTCAACTGCCCTGGCCGGCTCGCTCACGGGATTTTTCCCGGATCGAGCATGTGGGATATAATGTGCCAACGCCTGACCCGTGCTACGACTCTAGCAGCACACAACTAGCACAACCGCAGGACCCTATTCGCCACCTGTATGATGAGATGCCAACCCGCATCAGGGCTTGTCATACTGCCCGCGGCGGATACACGCAGTATTGATGCGGCGTTTCCAGTCCATGGTTCTCTCTGTTTGTGGTCATGCGAGTCTCACATGGCTTTGCCCATGTAATCATGAGTAGTATTCTGTCTGAATGTGCTGTATCTGTGCGGAGAAATAAATTGTACAATTCAATCGGGGTGTCGGAATACTTTTTTCCGCCATTGTAAATAAATGAACATTTGAGACTCTGAACTATATAGAGAGATATGTCTTCGAAATTTGAGAAGATGCGAAGTAATAAATGAAATAAAAAATTGAATATTATTACCGTTCAAGTTTGTCGAGAATGCTTTGTACCCAGCAGTCTTAATATCATAAAACTTTCCACTTCATTTATGCCTGTATTACTTATTTTACTAATTGTCTAAATCTCTTTTTTTACAAAAACCTTTTGTTTTCTATCATTTTCAAAAACTCATTCAACAACGTTTTACTTTTTCGTTTACGTACTACGTATGCACGTAGTACTTAGTAAAACTGATGTCGAGATTTTAACGGAAAAACACGTTTTGAGATCCCCTAATACCAAAAAGTTGTTTTATTTCCAAACGTGCGTCTGTCTGTTTGTCCGTCCGTGTGTGAACAACACTAGGCCTTAATAATTCAGAGTATTTTTTTATGAAATGTATATCCCCCGAATTTTCAAATGAATATACTTCAAAATGAGGTTCAATCTGACCCGACTCGAGTCCCCGCGAATTTGAAGCGAATTCTTTGTATTACGAAGGTATGTCATATGAAGCCCCAGGGCACATTCAAATTTTTTCTCAAAAATGGAGCCAAATTGTTTCTTTACGTTTCTTGTCAGAATAGAGTGAAATTCACTTATGAAGAAGGCATAGGTTCGATTTCCATTTTTTACCCCTTGTACAACTACTTTATTGAAGCTAGAGATTTTTTCTCGACATTACATTTGTTCTCCATAACCAATTTTTCCATTAATGGCTTCTACTTTTTTAAATATTATAAATTTTAGTATTTTTCGAAAATATCAAAAATGTATTTCACGCCATTAATATTTTCATTTCACGTGTTTTCTATAATATAATATGTTTGCGAGTACAAGAGCTTCAAAATATTTTTATGAGGTTGCACGAAAACTCAAATCTTGTCTGTGAAATTAGTTCAAAATTGAGAACTTTTAGAAACGCTCAAACGAAATTTTTAAAAAGCGGCACCAATTTTCTCAATGAAAATTGACATTTAGAACCAGATTTTACGTTTCTATCATATTCCAACAGTCATATTTCCGCTTCACTTTTAGGAAACCAAGAAATTGAGAAAATGTAGGGGGAGGCAGTAAATTAAAAACCACTATTTCCTCGATATAAATATTACATGAAAGTAATCGAAACTAATCTGATATTTGATAAGTGCTGTAAATACTATTTACTGTATCATTTTCTGAAGGTTTAATTAAATTTGAGAAAATTGTTCTCTACTGAGCGCGATGTAGGTAGAATTTAATTGTAAACTAATTTAGGGTGGATGGGCTTAAGAAAGAGGACATTAAAGCTGTGAGTTTGAGACCCGCATAAAACATTAATGCTTTGTCTTCCTGGTGTAGTGGTGGTTGGGAGGGTATTCCTAGTCCCGCGTGCATTTCATCTATACCCTAATCCATTCGTAATCTATTGGTGTGGCAGGAACAGTGTGTGAGATGTGTGCGTAATTGAGGAAGTAGATCCTTACACGCAGAATAATGGCACCGAGATGGGAAACTTGGCACCGAGATAGGGCCAAGGTATACCATGCGTAAATAAGTAAAGGTACAATGTCGACATAGGTCTATGCGATATACAGGGAGCACGAAGGTGCTCTTCAATGGGAATGTCCACAGAGAAGTGGTAGGCATCGCCAGAGGCCCTGGTAGATCAATTAGGCGCCGATAGATTGCATTTGGAGAGAGGTGGGACCAAACCTAGAAAGTAATCCGAGACTGAATAGAAAAGGAAAGTAGCTTGTACGAGAAAGCTTTTGCCGTTCTGGAACACCACTAGTTCTGCAATGTGATACTGTTCATCACAAAACAAGTAAATTTGCTCATATGTTAAGTTCTTAGAATATTGTTTCTTCGGCGTTTCAAAACTACATTTGTAAAATGTATGAAAACAAACATGTGTCAAACTGTTCAATTTTAACTTAACGGCTGTAAATGATAATTTACTCATTTGAAATAAGAACCACTGGAAACAAACTTGGTAATTAACCAAATTTGCTACTAGTGCTTACTATGGATTCAAATAAATAAATGCATTAATTTTTCACCAACAACTAATTTTTTAATGTTGAATTTGAAATTTTTGTATATGTTATTCAGTATGTATAGTATTTTTCTATTAATGCTTGTATTTTTTGTATTCTTGATTGAAAATAATAGAATTTTACACCAACATTGAACCATACAGTGCATTTACATTTTGTATTGTGACAGCTGTCTACAAGTATTTATTTAGTATCCTAGAATAATAATTATGAAAATGTGCAGTAAATATACATTTAGAATTCTGCAGTGTTTCATGCTACACTTTCACAATACCAAAATAATTCAATACTCTAATGATGTTGCAATTTAATTATCCTAAATTTGTAATTTATGTTGCAAAACTTATAATATATCCCTAACTTTTAAGTGTTGTTCAACTCTTGATACGTTAAATGATTTATTACAATTTGTATCACTATTTAACAGAACCGGAATCTGAAGATATGAGTCTTCATGAATCTCAGACTGCTGCTGCTCTGGATAACAAACAAAATATGGAGCAAAGAGAACAATATTATGCAACTGTTCGTAAACCAATACAATCCCCAATGCATGATATGAGTGGTTTAGAAAGAATACCAGGTATGGAATGAAATTTACTTATTCTCTTCACTTATCATTTGCTATTTTTATATGATGAAGTTACTGGTCATAATTCTTGTTACTTACCTTATGTAGTTTTCTGTAGAGAAATGAAGTGTGATTTATAATGTTCATGACAAAACTTGTAATTCCCGAAACAGCAAGTTCTAATTATACAAAATTTGTTAACTTTCTTTATTATGATTCTAGAAATCTAAATTGCATAGAGGGTTCAAAATTGTTTAGGTAATGATGTTCTGCTGATGTAGTTGTTGTCAATACATGGTGGGAATTCTTGATTCATGACATCCACAAATATGGAATATCCTAATAAAGAAAACCTAGCTTTTGATATAGAAACTGTAGTGTCCTATAGATAGACTTAATGGTAAAATGTAAGTAATTAAAAAATTTTCACTGCATTATTTTAAGAAAGCAAAATTGAATGTCATATTTTGTTTTGACCAATGTAGTCAAACGTTATTCAGTACAAATGGATTTACTAAGTTTTATCATGAATGAAAGTTCAATTTGTTTTATTTTCCATGAGCACTTTCTGGTTTTTCTGCATGGCTTACATTATATATGCAAAAAATTTAATACTCTCTCAAGTGTGTTATAGCAATTATTATCATTATTTTACATGACCATTTATATCTTGTTCTTAACATTTCAAATTCTATTATTTTACAATTGTTTTGTACTTTAACCTTTCATTATTTGAATAATCCTTCTTTATGTCTGCTTCATAGTAGAATATTTGACAACAAAATATTAACTTTTAACTCATGAAGAAGAGTTGCATTTTAAATTCAAGAAGAATTATAATTAATTATTTGATTTTTTCTTGTTCAGGATCATATTAAATTCTACTTTTGGAAACAGTGGTAGGAGTAACAATATATTTATGTCATTTTAAAGAATCATTTTCAGGAGCCAACTCTAAAAAATGAAATAGACGTACCGAAAATTCAAATTTAACATTTAGAAGTAATACATATTGTCTTAATCACATGCTGTCTTCCATTACAGGCAGTAATTATATTACTGAAAAGTATTCAGAAATGAAAAAAGACTGTTTGTAATTTTCACAATTGTTAATTTGATACAAATCGAAATTTTATCAAAATGAAATTGGTTTATTCCCTATTGTAAATTAATAATTCCAACATATTTCCAAAACTTACATTTTGCCCATTATATAACATAGAAGAATATGGCTTCTTTAGTTTGTTAGCTACCCAAGAGAAGATACATGGAGCCATCTGAAGAATGTACTACATTGCCTGAGCTATCAGGAAGAGCTAGCTCTGCGGCTACTGCAAACTTAACAAAAATAAGATGTGAATTCAATAAGATAATTTTATATCACAGCAGAAAAAACAAGAATTTTTTTTTCAGAAAAGTCTGTGACTGTTGTATAACTTCAAGACATAATTAGTCAACAGTTCGTTTCAATGAAGAATGAAATCTGTTTATCTTTAATGCCTCATTTATTCTTTCAGTTACTTCAACCCTTGGAAGAAAATCTGAGGCAGAATATTTCTTTCACAGTGCACACCTTTCACAGAATACATCAATTGATGGTGTAACATAAACATCAGAAAAATTACATACAATAATTTTTCAAAAAAATTGTGTATAGAAATGATTAAAATTGAACTCTACTTCTGCAACTGCTTCAGTTCTATTGCAGCCAAGCACCTTTTCAAGAATATACATGAGTCTATTATTGAGCTAATACAAAGTGAAATGCTGATTAAATATTGAAGAATGAAGATGTGGGAAATCTGTCCACTATTACTTATGCCAATATCCTTTAGATACATAAAAATGAATCTCCCTTACAAAAGTATTACTATTTGTGTGTTGACTCATTTGCTTGTGTTCTCTTAAAACTCTCTAATATTTGTATTGCTGGCATGTTTGTTTATTTAAATGTAATGCTAGTGACAGCCATCCTAAATGGCGTAATGGTTAAATTCTTACACATTTGTTTTTGCACAAGTGCAATTTTTTTCATGAAGAAAACATTTATCTTTAAATGAAACAAAGGGATCTAACCATAAGTTTTTGTCAACCAATGTATAGACGAAGTATGTAGGTTGCATGGAACGGAATACTTAAGACCATACTACATTAGACAACTAATTTTTATCAACACCGAACATGACTTTCCATGGGAAAAAAAGAAATGACCCCAGAATTTTAAAAGCAAGCTGAAAAATGTTTTCTCCTTTTACATATGAGAGTGATATAACATAAAGTCATGCAAACATGGCCGGACATCTCTTTTGAAACTGCAAGATTAGGGAATCTGAAATATTTGTTTTATTGGATACTTATATCAAAATTATACATATTATATGAAGAATCTACATTAATATAAATGTGTGTGTGCATGGAATGGCATCCAGATTTTCTGGATTATAAGTTTTTCCAGATTCCATATTTGCAACCGACAGACATGAAAAATGACATACCAATGAAAAAATACATAATAAAAGAATAGAATATGATTTGCATCAATTTCCAGTCCATGGAATTGTGAAATTCTATCAGAGCAGATTGTATTTTAAATGAAGTGCTTTCTTTGTTTTTGTACTGACAAGATGGCATTGAAAATTTCAAGACGAAATTAAAAGAGGAATTATGCAAGTTTTGCTATTGACTGTGAGTTTACATTCGAATGAAAAGTTACTCTTTTATATGTGCTGAGACTGAGAGCAGAATTTAAATTCGTCAGTAAATAAGGCAATAGCATGCAATCCAAGAGCAATTTAGTAGACTAATAGCATTTCAAGATTTTTTAGTTTTGGTATTACAATAATGTTTGTGAAAACCACCATATTAAGGTGAATTCTGCAGACAAAAATCTGTTCCTGGAATACAAAAACCTAGACAAATATAAACTGCAATTTGCTGGCATCTTGAAAATTGGCATGATGTACTAATGTTAAAACTCTGAATATTATTAAACGGGAAATTCAAAGAAGAGTCATTGGAATGCAGCTTCATTACACATAAGGTAACGTACTTTGAAACTGCACATCTTTATCAAAACATTTATAGATTAACAAGACTTTTTTTTCTTTTCAAAACATATTTTCAAACAGATTTGTAATTTTACAGTATTGAAGTGTTCAAGGCATTTACAAATTGAGCTGCTTCATGTGTTCTCAGAGAACAAATGTATTTACAGAAGTGCCAAAGTTATTAAAATAATTTGTTTCACAACTTATCCAAATCAAGCTATAATCAAGAAAATATGGATTGATACATAGGCTGCATAAAAAACACTAGCAATATGTCTTTTCAAATTATGTTCATTCTTCGCTTTTCAGCATTGTAATATGTTAATTTTATTAGCTGAATATCTAAAAGACATGTTAATTTTGATATATGATAATATGCAATATCTTATTCATTACTTGTGTGGCTTATCAGTTATTATTGAGAAGATATGAATAAGAATATTGAAGAGTGAAGTATTTACAACCCAACATCATTTTCCTATCTTCAAATGAAAATGTTAATAGTGAACTGAAAAGAAATTAAAGTTTATTGGAAGCTACGATGAATTTTAGAAACCCATTTTAAAATAAACAGAATAAATTTTCAAAATAAACAATACATTTGCACAGTTGGAACTACTCATTAATTTTCTTATGGCCATCACAATGGAAGTGATATCTTCAAGAACAATGATGTTATTATAACAGAAAACCTAACACTGGGGCCTACTCGTGGATCTTTGCGTCGAATGCGGATTAACCAGACCTCAGCCTTTCAGTGATTCCAGAAACCATCATATTTGTGTAGATCGGCCGTGCTACAGGGTCTTGGCCAGCTGAAGACACTATAAGATGTGAATCTCTGAAACTAATACCTTTTTGTCTTTGTTAATTACGAAATTGAAGAAAACAATATTCAGGTGATTTAGAGTCACTGGCAAAGTAACATTGCAAGCCTGAACGCAGATCTTGAAACTAATTTCATTTTCAAATAAGTTTCGTCATGGAAAATCTGATTGGGGCAGGGGAATCAAGGATCATTTTAATTAAAAGAATGATTCCTTATTTGTACCTGACACTAATGTGGTTCTAGTAGGGTATACTCTACTTGTGACTATTCTGTAGTGTTCTCACCTGTATTGTTCAAGAATGACTTTTGCACAAAACAATGCACTTCGATAAATAAATGCATATCGATTTCAAATTGGTAAGAAGTAAGATGTGCATAATGGAGCATTTCCACTAATCCACATAAAAGCCAAACAGTCCAATTGACCCAAGAATTATAACAAGTTACAGTGTTTTGGGATGTTATGGAGTTGCATTCTCTTGCAGTAAAAACCGGACGCCTAAAAGAAAGTTCTAACTTCACTTGAATTCCATTGAGTGCTACGAAGGAACCTTTTGACGCAAAATAAAAAATTCACGAACTGCAATATACTCTACACTGCTCATTATGTTTTTGGAACTTCGCGAAGATTATTACTCATTACCCTCATTTCGTTGTATAGTAAATATTGGGACAAATCTGAATCGCGACTCGCGACAGTAGATAACCATGTTAACTGTTACTCTGTTTGCTGAACGTTCAAATTTTTGACGTGTTTTGGAGAACATTCCAATATCAATTTCATTATTAATGCACTTAAATTCCTGACATACAAAATGAACAGTAAGTAAAAAATATATATTTATAAAGTTCATGATCAAAGTATGATACCCACAGTGATAATGGTTTTTTGAAATGTGTAATTAAGAACTTAAAAAGAGATTAAAGAAGAATACCGATTTGTAAAACGAAATCATAAAATCTCTCATTAGAGCAGGCAATTAATGTGAACACAAAAGGAATTAAAATACACAAGACACCACAGAATGTAAATTATAGTGGCAGGTTCATCTACAGAAGTGATCCGAGGTTTCCAAAGCAAATTTATAAATGAATACCGGCCTTGAGAAGACGAATAATATCAGCAACCTGTTGGGAAAGGAATAATGAAAGCGACAGAAACCCGAAATGTA